CAATTAGAACAGGGTTCGTATGGTCCTTAAAAGTCCTTAATTTTTTCAAAAATGATTTTTGGTCCTTCAAAGTCCTTAATTTTGGCCAAAATGAATAAACGGTCCTTAATTTTGCTCATTTGACATTTCTTATCATTTCTAATGATTGCCATTCTAAGTGTGAATTACAATTTCTCATGAATATGGAATTGAGCCCACCAGCGGCCGAGCGGTAAAATCGCTGAACACTGGGAGTTCGGTCCGAGGTTCGAATCCCACGAACGGGCTGGCTGCATGGGCGTTTTCAGGGTTTTCCCCATGTGTAACGTGTATATGAGCCAATTTCCCTTAGAAAGTCCTCCACAAAGGCATCCCTCCTCTTAGGCAGATAGCCCTCGAGGCTTTGCCATAATCACACACACACATGAATATGGAATTAAATTACACGGCTCTTAACCAATCTGTTGGCGGATTTGCGTTGCAAACGATAAAAAAAAAACAATTAGCTACCCGTATCAGTGTCTGATTGTCTATTCACCTAGTCTTTCGAAACAGGTGTTATCCATGAATTTAGGCAGATCGTGACGAAAGCGTGAAGCCGGAAGTTCTTTAAGAAGCGAAAGTGGTGATGAAGGTGCTCGAGAAAAAAAAAGGGGTGGGGGATTCTGAAAATATTTGCCAAAATTAGAGCAGTCCCAACCTTGGAAGGCCCACAACCCTTCCGACGCCAATAGGAACGAGAATGCCTGGAAAGTGCATTTTCAACTAAGCTGTGGCCTTCATCAAGCTGACTACAAAGACTGGATATTGATGGATGACAAAGCTTTTAAAGCTAAATGTGGTCTTTGTCTGAAACAAATTGAAATTTCTAGAATGGGAGAGTCAGCAGCTGAAAATTTCACATGAAAATTAAGTTTCGTTTTATCGTTTTATCATTTCAATTTGTTTTTACGCGGTTTTTTGCTTAGCTCAATTTCTGTGTTTGTTTCAATTAAGCCATAAATTAACTTTTTATCACCTTCTGCGGAGTTTATTCTCTTTTGCACATACTATATGTATGGGATATCGGGATTATGAGTTTTATTTCTGCAGCTTGTCTGTTATCGATTTCGCGGGAAATCTGTTGGCTCCATTTCGACTTTAGGTCGCCAAGGACAAATTCGGTAACGCTAGCCGAGAAAAAGTGAAGTTCGGAAATACGTTTTGAAGCTTCAATACATAATTAAGTATTTGGTTTAAACCTATGTTGTTGATAGTAATGCATAATTTTTGCTAATGGTGATGCAATTATTAGTTGAAAATAACTAACTAATTAAAAATTTTTTAATATTTTTAAAGTTGAAAACAACTTATTGAAACTAATTTTCCTAAATTAACTAGACGCAAAATTAACTTTCATGAATTACTAAAGTTATTGGGTAGAAGTTTAACTGAAAATATACTTTCCGTATTATATATATATATTTATACAGTACAAAGTCCGAGGTGTCTCGACTTCGGACTTTGTACTGTATAAATATATATATTTTTGACTTCGGCGATCCCAGATTTGAGATTTTTCCGGATATTAGATCATTTTAAATCTACTAAGATGGCACGTAGAAATTATAAAATTGAAAATATGAAATCGTGATTTATGAAATAATGAAGTATTTATGATTTAAAGAGTATCAAATTTACAAAAGAAAAAGAGTTTAATATTTATATGTTTACTTTGTTAAACATTTCTTTCAATGTGAGTTGTTTGATTTGTTTTCTCTGCTAATACTTTAGACTAATACTATAGACATATAATTTCTTGTTCAGTTATTAAGTTCCATTGTTCAAGTCCTGTAATTGCCGTGTCGAGAATTCCGAATAACTTGTCAATCAAAATTTTTTCTCGTTCAGTAACCTCTCTGTTACTTTCTTCACTATCGGTAGCTGTATTTTCTGGATTTAGAACTATACTAGAGATTTCGCCCTCCATTAAATTGATTGATGATTGGGCATTTTCATCGCAATGAAAAACTTCTGTTTAACTTCGCTAAATTCTGCCGCCTGGTGCGGCCATGCGAGCTCTGGCGCTGGTTCTGGCTTTATGTGAATAACAAATCAGTTATTCTTAATTCAAATAGCACTAAATATAATCGTTTGTCCTATGAGTATCATTAACAAAATCTATTTTTAGCATAAGGAAAGAAATTTCTGCTAAATCTTCCCTTGTCAACATTTTAGCGCATTAAACTTAAATCTGTAATCGGATAATACTCTATTATTTGGCGTCGCTGCATGATTCATCACTCAAGTTGTCATCCCTTGATAAACATGCGGTGATGAAAGCAAAATACAATAAATAATGATTCGCAATTTCGGCATCAAGGATATAAAATATTAGTTGGTGTAAAATTAACAAATGTTTCGGTTTGAGATATAAATTGTTTGAGATTAATATGAGGTTTGTGATATAAGCAGATACGCAGCTATGGAGTCAAGTTACTAATCACACAAATTTATGCTAAAATAATTATTTCTTCAATAATAAGATATTTTATTTAGCACCAAACTGAGATTAAAAATCGGGATTTCCGGCATGTTTTTTTATGATGAGGAAAAAAATCTAATGCGCGTGTGTAAAGCATACCCCTTCCCTTCAAAAAAGCCCTAAAAAATTGGTTGGTGGTGGCTTTGAGGTCCGGATTTTAGATCATTCCAGAAAATGAGATCAGCAGCAGCTTCTGCAAGAAGTGGAGTTCGTTATTTAAAAGTTCAGTATTTAGAAGAACAAAAATCTTTAACTAAATCTGAAAATTCAAAAGAGGAAAAGAAAGATATTATTGAGGAAGAAATTGATTATATGAAGCAGAAGTAAAATTTTCTTCAAAGGGACATTGAAGATATTAATGAAGAAGTAGATTGCTTTTAGCAGATGAAGCAGAGACCAGCAGGTAACATTGATTTGTTGATATGAAAGCAATATGAACTTAAGAAGAAGTAGCTAAAGAAAAGGAAATAGACATAATAAATTAGATCTTAAAATATCTGAAAAAGAATTAAGATTTAAAAAAAAAAGCATCAAATGTTTTGTATTTTTTATTGTACAGTTTAGTTATTCTAGTATCTTTCAAAAACCAGGAAGATAAATTGTATGTTTACTAATCTGTTATTTTAATCTGCAAAATATTCTTACATTGTGATTATAATAGTAGTTGACTGTGTTTAAATAAATATCAAATAAGTTAAATAATAATCATGTAAATCTCTAAAATGGTGACTGTTATTAGTGTAAAATACACTTATACATGTTTTTCAAGAAATTATGTTCCTAATTTAATGTTATCTACTTCATAACTTGTAGGGAGTTAGTTTAATTTTCAAAATTGTTTTATGGTAAGTATTAAATTGAATTTAATTAATAGTGCATAATACACATTTCTGTTAGTTTCTTAAAGTGAAATTACAAGCATGAAGTCAGTTTGTATGGATAATTGCTTTATTCTATTCATTTTTTTGTTTGCTGATAGGTCCTTAATTTTTTCTTTGATGGTCCTTAAAAGTCCTTAATTTTCATGTAAGGAAATGTATACGAACCCTGTAAAAAGTCCTCCACGAAGGCATCCTTTTCCTTAGGCAGATAGCCCTAGTGTGCTTTGCCATAATTAAATAAACCAAACCAAACCAAACCAAACCCAGGCAGCACTCAGCCAGTATAATAATAATAAACTAATAAGATTCTAGTTAAATTAAAGTTACTTGATGTTAAAACTTACTAGAACACTGAAGCAACTATTTGCTAAGTTCTATTGTATCAGTAAAAACTCAAGAAGGGTAAAAAGACCCTTTTATTCACTCTCAAGAACAGTTAACAGAAGGCCTTTCTTATACTTACAAGTACTGTGTCAACATTTTTTATGGTAACTCAAAAATAAGAATGTAAAACTAAATCTAAATTAAATAATCAGCCGAAGCTGCACAGAGCTATTTAGTGCACAGTTGGCTCTTGGATAATGCCATCGACGTAGATCATCAGGCAATTAATATGCACGGCAGTGAATTAGCAAACTTTAACTAGTAGTGAAACAACGTGGCCGACAGGCAGAACACTCTGTCTGAAGTAACTCAGCCATCAGTTTAAATAGTAGCTTTCTACCGTACTTTGCAACTGAAATCTCATTCTGGCAAGAAAGCGTGGGTTGGAAAATGCATTTAAAGGAAAGGCTGTTTCTAAAATAAAGTTAACTGTTAGAAAAATTAAATAAAACCCTACAAACCTGTAACTGTTTAATTACACATATGTTTCAATTATGTTTGTTAGGTACTTACATATTAACAATGGCACCTGGCAGTTGTTTATGAATGAGAAAGTAAAAATTACTTATTGGATGCAAGTTGGCATTTTTTGCAATTTTTTTAAAACATTTTGAAAATATCAATATTTATCACAAGTTGGCAAATATTATTGTAGCATCTGATTTCGAGAGTATCAGTACTCTTATACCTGAGAACCTCTGTGAACGATAGTAGAAAACAATGTAATGTAACTGCGTAAATAGCGCATTGCTGCTGTCTTATGAGTTAGTTAGAAATAAATGTTTGATAAATAAAAGCTTTCGTGAACTACTCAAGATTTTTTTCAGTTTAAGAAAGCATAAAAGAAAGTCTAAGAAAATATAAAATTTAAATTATGCATTGAACATAAAATTTAGAATACCCAATTAAATGCTAGTATGTTTTACATTAGAATTGAATTAGTTAAGGAACTTGAGCCATGCATTATGAGGTGAATTATTGTCAGTTTGTAGTTTTTTTTTAAATGGGGTCGCCACACTGTGCGAAAAACCTCCTGATTTTTTAATGTTTCAATGTTGCCAACAATTCTGTATATGTCTTATTGTTTGCACATATTTACTTTTCATATATTGTGAATATTATATTTCCCATATTCTTATTTTGCTTATCTTTATATTTACATAATCGTTTCTGCTTTATATAGCCAATCTGATTTTTTAATGTACTTATTTTTAATAACTTTATTATTACAGCTTTATCTAGAAAGTGATGGCATAACTTATAATCTGCATGTTATCCCAGAATTCTGGCAACCATCCGATGATTTGTATCTGCTTCTGATCTTTCTTGAGGTACAACTTATTTTTATTAGCTTTTATTCAAAATAGTGAGAATAATTACTTGCATAAAAGGCTGTTTTTAATTTTGTTGCTAAAACGTTTAGTTCAGGATATTTTTTTACTTACCTAACGAATATTGTTTGCTTTGTAGTTACTGCATGTTACGCATATAAAAAAGCATGTTTGCTATTTTCCTGCTTTACAAGAACTATTTGTAAATCAGTATCCAATGTTTGATGGACACAGACTAGTAAATTTGGGTCCAAGATCTGATTTGTGATCTAATCTAGAACCAAATTGCATTTGGCTCTAGATTACATCTAAAAGCAAACTGAAGTCATTTTGGCAGTTAGAAATTAGGCGTTTCTGCTTTGTGAGACCACATGTGTTTAAAAATAAGAATGTAAAACTAAATCTAAATTAAATAATCAGCCGAAGCTGCACAGAGCTATTTAGTGCACAGTTGGCTCTTGGATAATGCCATCGACATAGATCATCAGGCAATTAATATGCACGGCAGTGAATTAGCAAACTTTAACTAGTAGTGAAACAACGTGGCCGACAGGCAGAACACTCTGTCTGAAGTAACTCAGCCATCAGTTTAAATAGTAGCTTTCTACCGTACTTTCTAATGTATGCAACTGAAATCTCATTCTGGCAGGAAAGCGTGGGTTGGAAAAAATGCATTTAAAGGAAAGGCTGTTTCTAAAATAAAGTTAACTGTTAGAAAAATTAAATAAAATTAAATGTCATGTTCCAGTTTTCCAATCAGCATCGAGTGCCACTGCGAGCCATCTGGCATGATGAGCACAAAGCAAGATCAAGGCTGTTATTTCGTTCAGCTTCCATGCCGTAAATAATGCATTATACGTAGGTCTCAGTATACAGAGAAAAATTGCAATAAAAGATAGTTATTATTCTTTACATCAGGCTTTTTTTCACTGCACTTTTTCCTCATGATTAGGTCATTATTAATACCTTCAAGAGAAAATTCTTTCTTCTAGATTCACACTTTTTGAACTGAGAACTGATCTCAAGTACAGTTCTTCAAATCTCTGATATAAAATTAAAGCATTACAAATAAGTTAGATATTTTCTAAATAAAATATGTATAACCCAGAGTTGCCAATTGCCAACTATCCCAATTTAAGAAGGATTTTTCCCAATTTCCGACCACTCTCCTGCCAACCTGATTTGCAACAGATTTCTCCCGACTTTCTCTTGTTCTTAAAATTTCTCGCGATTTTTATGTATCTTGGCTTACTACTTTATTACTTACGAGGGAAAAAAAGTGATTTTGGGTGTCACTTCAATTGGCTCTAGATTACATCTGAAAGGGAACTGAAGTCATTTTGGCAGTTAGAAATTACAACGTGTTTCTGCTTTGTGAGACCACATGTGTTTAAAAATGTCATATTCCAGTTCTCCAATCAGCATCGAGTGACACTGCGAGGCATCTGGCATGATGAGAACAAAGCAAGATCAAGGCTGTTATTTCATTCATCTTGTCGCTGAGCGGTGTGAGTGCACATTCTTTTGAGAAATAGTTTAAGAAATTACGATCTTTCTTTTAATTATGTCTGTGAAAATGGTAAAACAATCATGTATATTTTTCAAAAGTCATATACAGATGACTTTTCTTCTATTATTTTTCCTCAAGGAAATTTAATACATCTGTCATTGCAATTTTTCGATTTTGGTCGATGGAAGGGCCGATGTTGTGAAACATGTGCATACATAAGGACAACATGAAGTCTATTGAAAAAAACAAAAAAATTAATTTTTTTGTGGAAACAAAGGAGCAAAAAGTGATTAATGCAGAATGCCTCTTCTCTGCTTTTTTACTAAAGCACAACCTGCCACTGAATGCATCGGATCATGCTGCAGCTTTATTTAGAAGTGAAATAGCTAAGAAATACTGAAGTGCAAGGACCAGAAAGGCTACAATAGAAATGGGTATGAAAAAGGATCTTCAGTTATTTATTGCATTAAAATAGTTCCATTTTAAGCCCACCAGCGGCCGAGCGGTAAAGTCGCTGAACACTGGTAGGTTCGGTCCAAGGTTCGAATCCCGCGAATGGGCTGGCTGCATGGGTGTTTTCGTGGTTTTCCCCATGTGTAACATGTATATGAGCCTGTTTCCCTTAGAAAGTCCTCCATGAAGGCATCCCTCCCCTTAGGCAGATAACCCCTAGTGTGCTTTGCCATAATTAAATACACCACCACACCAATAGTTCCATTTTGTCTCTCTATGGATACAAGCAATAAGAGCGATTCAAAACTGTATCCAAATATTGTTTCTTTTTTTAATCCCGTATTTTCAGAAATTGAGTGTTGTTTACTTTCTTATTTTAGAAAGGCATTTGACAGCCTTTCATATAACACAGCTAATTATTAAAATTTAAAAAGATAATGCAATTCCTTTAGGTAATTGGTTAGCACTTGGTGCCAATAATGCACCAGTAATAGTAGGTTTGCGGACTTGTGTTTTCATAAAAAAACTCCTGATTTTGGGTTGTAGTTTGGCAAGTATGATAACCAAAGGGAAGAGAGCCATGTTAATGTAAGAATTAAAATTTGGCAAAAAAGCAACCTTTTATTGGCTTTGATTTGGGATAAAACATTCAGTTTCATAGGTGATGAGACAGGTCCTGTTTCAGAAGGAAAAGATATTTTGCCAAAAATAATTGGTCGTTTTAAAATGTGTGAGAGAGGAAAAGATAAAGCAAGCAAAATAAGATTCAGTAATGGTTAACATAGATGGCTATGATTACACACAGTTAAACAGCAAACTTCATCACTAAATATATAGTCATGTAGTTCTGTAAATACACTGTCATCAAAGTTAAAGGATAATGAGAAAAATGTGCTCACTAAGTTAATGGTGCAACAGATGCTTAATGCTATAATTATTTATATTAATTAAATACAATTTAACACAAAATTGAACTTCTGCACGTACATTAGCGTGATTGATAATGTGGCGCGTAATGAATGCATGTTGGAATTTCGGTCTGTAGTATTGTCTAAAATGAATGTGGTTTGTGAAAGTGATAAATATTCAGTAGTTATAGCTCAAAAGCATTTAAGTGAAGTTCAAAAGTGACAAATAATTGGTAGAACTGAGGGAGGTCAAACACATGCTTTTTAAGCACTGGATGAGTTGATAGACAGCCTGGTCAAGGGCAGCTAACAGCAACAACTGCATCAGAAGATCCTTTTCTGTCATCATCCAGTTATAGTCTGAGCAGTGATTCTAGATGTATTTTGATCTGGAGAGGGGAAGGAACACACAACTTGCCTTCCCCTTTCTATGAAATATCCTGTTTCCGATGCCGCGGTTTAATGATTTGGGGAGGAATCGTAATAAATAGCTGCACCAAGCTGCATATCTTTCAAGGATGTTCTGTAAACACTCGGAGATATGTGAAGGAGGTATTGGAATGCCAAGTTAGACAGTTTACGGGTGCTGTTGACCCAGAGTTTTTGCTAATGGATGACGATTGAGCATATGTGGTGACAGAATGCTTGCAAATAGAAGATATCACTTGAATGGATTCGCCACCTTACTCACCCGACTGAGCAAGTGTGGGAGGCTTTAGGGTGCTGAATTTCAACTTACCAAATTCCTCCCTGGGCCCTCCAGGAGCTGAAAAGTGCACTTAGAGGAGTGGTGGAATTCCACGAGACTCGACTAACACTTTGGTAAAGTCTGTGAAATCAAGATGTGATATTTGCATATTTATCTGAGGTGACCATGCGACATATTAAAGATTTTTTCCTCCCAAAAGTGGTGACAATTTTTCCATCATTTTCCAATTTCCATAAATTTGTTTTTAATTTCAATTTTTTGCGAATAATAAGCTGCCAAACATTGTGATTTGTGTTAACTAATGCTTTTGTACAAATTTCTATTAATAATTTTTCATTAACTATCAGTTACTGTTTATTTCTGTCATTATCCTTTAATTTTGATGACCAGTGTATATAGTAAACTTCTTCAGGAGCAAACTGTTTTTCCTCTTGAAGAAGACAGATGTGTGTCTGACTGCCTTCGAAATTAATTGAATTGAAAAACCTGCACCTAACAGCCTTTTTGCCTAGTTTTAAAAATTATGTATATAGGATGATTCTAAATTGTTTTTACAAATTAAGAGGGGTGATAGTATTCATTCAGATGAGCAATAATTACCATGGAACATAGGGTCACATCTCACTCTGAGAGGCAGAAAAGAAGAATTTTAGAATTCCAACCTGAACTTACAACAGTTACAATTTTTGTAGGTATAACGCTGATTTTTGTTGTTTCACTTCTGAATTAGTATTTATTCGGCGTGTTATTGTGTCTAATTACAACAGTGTTGTTATAAATCCACATCTTTGGCTCGCAGGGTCTCAACCTCGCAAATGATTGCAACATGTTAATTAACTAATCAAGGGCTAAATATTATCAACTAACTCCATCTTCTGGTGTTTGCCGAGATTAGAATGAAACATTCTTGCTGTGTTCCGGCTGTCAGAACTTCGTGTCCAATAGAAGGGTGCTAAACCCTTTGGCGCGCGCAATATTATTTTTATAATTTTTTTAACTAAAAATTCTTCTAGAAATTGAATATCATGATCCTAGAGACAAATAATATATGAATTAAAAAAATCTACTCTTGCTCATTGTTCTTGAAGTAGACAGATGTGTGTCTGACTCTATATATGAATTAAAAAAATCTACTCTTGCTCATTGTTCTGTGGGTAGTGGTCGCACTGTGAAACCACTGCACGTCTAGGACTTTGAAACTTACTGAGATAGTAAGGGAAAAATACTTACCTTTGTCCATGCGCGTTTCCAATAAATGACTAAATTTACTAATTTAAAAAAAAAATTATGTAAGAATTGCATTGTATATAATGTTTTTTACATTATTTTACAAAATAAATCGTCAGAAAAAATTAAAAATAAACATTCATGTAATTTTTCTATAGCAGTGAAAATATAACTACCTACATAATAAAGACGT